AACCAACCAACAAACAACCCACAAAAAAAAAACCAAAACAAAACAACAACAACAACAACAAATAAACATCAACTCAACAAAAAAACAAAAGGACAACCAAAACCAACCCGCCCGGTTACAGGCTTTCTGAGACTTTGTCATTTGGATGAGCTCGGACCCTGAAGGATTGAGTGTTGTTTCAGAGCATAACAGTGGCATTTTGATCTATAGCATTCATCAACAAGGAAAGAAACAGAGACTCTGGAGTGAAGACAGCACCACAGGCAATCACTAACTCATTCCAGCTCTATCGCTCTACCTGTGACCTCTTCACACCGTGTAGGTCGGGTGATAAACCATCTTATCTGCTTCTGGTGGCAGACCTGGATCAAGCAGAAAGTTGTACCAGAGGCCTCCAGAGGTCCCTTCTGCCCACACCTCTATGATTTTCAGTGGTACAATAACCATTATTAATTGGGAAGCATATCCAGGACTCTATGTAAGTCATGTTCTACTGGAATTGATCCAGCTGAAATTGATTTTTTTAACTTGTCTCTGCACTGATGGGGTTATTTCTCAGAGAATTCATTCCTTATGGCATGAGAGAGCTGGCAAGGACAAGCAAGTTTAGAAGGGATAGGGCTTCCTTCCTTCAACAGCAGCTTGAACTTATGTCAGACTCAACTGACCAATGTCACAGGCTTTCCCAGCTGCCAGGCCATTTCTGTGGGTCTTATAGATCCTTTTCAGAATGTTTTGTTAGAGTCCTGATCCCTCTTGTAGCAGGTGACACCTCCTGTGACATCATGGCCCTCAGCCAGAAACTGCTGTATTAATGACACTGGGTTACTGAGCAGTGGGCAAGCCATGTATTTTCAAACACTTGCTGGAAATTGCAGCAATAAAGAAAATACATCTGTTGACCTATTTCAGTCAACATGCAATGTGAAGGCAATGGTTCATCACTGGAAACTAAAAGCTGCACGTAAGCTGTTGTGAGGGTCTTCAACAACATGACAGTGATGTTGGCTACCACCATTATTATTTTCAGAGGTTTTAACTCAGCAAGGGATTTCTTATGAAACATTTTTCCCCCCTTTGGGAGGACTGAATTATAGACTTTTCCCCGAGGAAGGAAAGCCATCAGTCTTTGTCCAGCTGTAAGGAAAGAGGTCATCTCCTGACAGTTTTGAGGAACCAACCAACCATTTTATTATTATCGTAGATGTAGTTCTTTAGTTTTATCTTCCTAATAATAAATCCTGATATTATTCTCCCCAAAATAGGTCTCTTTCATCTGCATAAACCTTCTCCCAACTTATATTAATTGGGGGGGGGGCGGGGGTGAGAAAAAAATTTACCCAGAGCAAAACCACGACAACAGCCTACACCTTGTCTTTTCACTGGTGTAGTTTCAGAAGGTTTTCAGGCTGTTATTACATTCAGTTCTTTCTAGTAGACTCATCTGCAAGGATTTGCAATTATTTCAGCGGGAAAATCTACAGGGTAAAATACTTGCTAAGGTGGAATGATCAATACAACCTGTCAGTGGATTGATTCATGAGTGAAGCTACTCGCATGCTCAACACATTGCAGAACTGAATCTGGCTTATAAAAATAAGGGAATATTTGGGGGCTTACTCAGCATTTCCAGGAACTGTATGGAGTTTCAACTGCAGACCCTATAACAGCATGAGACAAGGCACCTCTGACATGAAGTGGAAGATTTTTCTGTTAATTGCTTTGCATGTAACAAACAACCCAAAAGAGGGAAACTCCAAAATTCCAATGACATCCTGCTGGCACACAGCTCTGTTCATCCAGGCATCACTTAAGGGCCACTCAGAAGAGCAGCCTGGTCTCCCAGGGCCATGGTGTAGCCCTCTCCTGGGCTGTGGTGGGATCTCCAGCACCCACTAGGTGGTGGTCTGGGATAACAAGAAGGAGGCTTACAAGGCCCAGGGAGCAGAGGAATGGAAGTGTTGCTTGCCATGAGGAGCTGAGGGGATATGTCAAAACATAGGAGTTGGGACACAGTGCTAAATACACCATGGCGGGGTCATTGAGCCATCATCACCTTCCTGATGTTTTCTCTCAGAGGAAGCAAGCTGGGTTGTTCCAAGTTGTGTCTCATTTCCAGCAAAGTGCATGTGTGCACAGCTAAGCACACTTACAAACACGAAGAAATGCCTCAGAAGCATTCACAGTCTGAGGTTAACATCTCTGATTTACTTGCAATGTTAGTGCTGCTCCTGAGCTGTGACCCTCCCAGGCACACCGGCCCACAACTCAGATAAGTGTGCTGGTGTCCTCATAGCTTTGTGTAGGCTCTGCAAGACATTAGAGCCTGAAAGCCTGAGCAAAGCTGTCAGCAATTAGGACTGCTCGGGGGCTGAGGTAAGAGGCTTAGAAATCTCACTCACTGCCCTGCACTGCTGGGAGACCCTGGCAGTTTGAGCCTGTGTTTGCCACAACCTGAGAGCTGAAATGCAAGCAGC